ACACTTATTTACCGGAAGTTGTCGTCTCCTCCGCAGGCCCTTCGATCTTCGACTACGCGCGCGGCTCGACACAAATGAAAAACAATAAAAAAAAAAATTAAAAAAAAAATAGGAGCCGAATTTAAGACCTCGGTGTCGTACCGACCCGAGGTAATTAATAAACTTTAAGTGCGTGTGGTGGACCTTTCGAAAATGTACGGGGGGGGGGGGGTAGTTTTTCAACGTAAAGAGAGAGTTTCAGTCCTCAAACCTTTTATACATGTATTATGACAAATTTCCTTCACTAAAAGGACACAAGGCTTCTGTAGTTAAAGAGTTCTAATTTAGTTATTTTGTGAATAAGTTATTATTCGGCAGTTTTAGAACATATTAGGGGCAGGGTTTTAACTACTGTGGAAGGTCGTGTTATAAAATGGGAAAACACGGCAAATTAAATCAAGCGAAGGCGCCTTCATTATTTACGTAAAGCTGTGAAAGTTCACAAAATTGGGTGTTCCCACGGCATAAAACAGACAGAATTTCCTCCTGTTTATGTTGTAAGAATGTTGGTAAAATACTGTTTGTTGAAATTGGTAAAATGATTTGTGTTTTTATCTTTAGATGAATATGCAGGTAATGGGAACCATATAGCAATAAAATGGTTTTAAATGCCTCGAGAGTTCGTAAAATACAGTAACTCACTGTAATCTCAGTGCGAAATATGAGCGTATACTCGCCTTGTATTTGGTTATAAGCATAGAACAACTACAGGCATACTCCGTTGTTGGCAAGCATAACTGGAACCAAGCATTTGGTTATTCTGGTAATTGGGACGTACCGACGCCAGGGCTCGAAGTAGATAAAAAATATGGCGTGCCAGTCTAATTTTTTGGCAGGTGAAATAAATTTTAGCCTGCCATTTTTATTCATTGAACTGCCAAAATGGCGATGTCTCATATGAGTCATACTGTAAAAATCAATGTTTTCATGATATGCATTTTTATTGTAACTTGTCCATTTTACTACAGTAAACTTGGATTTGCATTTTAAATATAAACGTATTTAGTCAACTAAATGATCTTGTATATATGAGTTGTGGTAAGCAAATTAAAAGAAATATCTAGAATTTCACCTGCCATTTTTTTTTTACTTTGACAGTTCAAATTTGTTTTAGTTTGCAATTTTTAAAATATTGCCTGCTTTTGGGCATTGGCAGCCCGCTATTTCGAGCCCTGGTTTACTACACACCACTAAAATTTAGAAACATTCCCAAAATCTAAAGTCCCAGCTATAAAACCCTGATTAGGAGGGGTTGAGTTGCAGCTTCCAAGAACATCTTTTTGTTATAATTGTAGATTCGTAATGGCTAGTGCCAGCAGCTCAACCCCCATATCAAACGAAGAACGAAGATGGGTTGTCGTTGGTGTATGTTTGACCAAAGTGCTTACTCCTGCATTGAGGAATGTTCTTGCAACCGAAATACCAAAGTGGCATCAGGTTTTATGTCAACCACCGACCGAAATTGACAAACAAGTTTATGGTCGACATAAAATACAGTTGAACCCATCAACTTTAGACCTCAAGTATAAAAATATCAACAACAATGATGCCCTTAGATCACCTCGTGCATTTGATTATGCAGTTACAGATCCGTTGTCTTTGGCAAAGTTGTTTGTTCAGCCTTTCATGTCGAAATTCACTGGCTTTGATCGAACAATGGACGTATCTGCAGTCTTATCAGTGATTTGTGAATCTGCCCCATTTGTTAGAGCTGCTGCTCATGCAAAGACAATTCGGTCAGATATCAGAAACGAGTGGGCACATTGCAACTTTACACATTGGACTGAAGCAAAATTTATTGTTGCCTTTCAAAGTATGGAAACTTTACTTAAGAATGTCAATTTGTCGCCTCAAGATGAACAGAAATTGTGTGATGAGCTGAATAGTTGGAAAGATAAAGGTAAAGAAATCACAATTCACTCGCTTGAAGTATGCCTAGACAAAACTGTCTGTTTTACTTTACAGTTAAAACCATCCATTTAGCGATTTAGAGAGATTTGGTATGAAGATTAATTGCTTACCATCACTGTGAAACTCATTAATAATTCTCATTCTCATAAAACACAAAAGAAATCATGCATACATGATACAGAGATCATGCTGATACAGAGATCTGCTGATTTACATAAACTTTAAGTTTAATTTTAAAGTTTGATTTTCTCACCAAGTATTCTTTTATTTTAAATTGTTGAAGAATACGAATATTCTCGTCGAGACGTTTCAAGCCATATGAAGCATATGCGCCTCCATGTTGTATCTATTTATTTATTTATTTATTTATTTAGCTTTGCCAACTAGGGCAGGGTCACCACAACAGCATATGCCAATTACTGTGGGCCCTTTTTACCTAACCCAGCCTGTCAACTTTCCCTGTGGGAGGAAACCGGAGTACCCGGGGAAAACCCACGGCTTTCGGCAGAGCGTTGACTTTTACTCTTTTCACATGGGGACTGTGTTCGAGTCGCACTGAGAAGGTACTTAGTGAGACTCGAACCTGCAGCCTCAGAGGTGAAAGGCAAGTGCGCTAACCACTTGGCCACCGAAGCCCCAAAGACAGACATACAACGTTTCGCATTCGGCTCGAGTAAGTTTGTATATTTTGTACAACACGGCCGCTCATGCTTTATCTATTACTTGAAATACTCATTAATAATTCATGAAGAAAATTCAAACGAAATGAATGTTTAATCAATGTTTGTAAATCGGATAAATATTTCTCCTGATTTACATAAACTTTAGCCTGCGTAATTATCGAATATAGCAAAAATAGCTCATTTTCAAATCGCGATAACTCTTCGGTTTTATGGAGTAAATTCATGTTTTTAAAGTACCAATATAAAGAGTAAACATTCCTGAATTCACTAATGTAATTTTATTTTAGTTT